GCCATTCCACATAACAATAATTTTGAAACCACTTCGGTACAAAGTGGATAAGACAAAAGAAAATACAATGTAAAATAATCAACTATTGAAGGTCCTATGTAATGTATACAGTTATTATACAGATGGCAGTGCCTTTTAAAACACACAATACAGCAATATTAAGGACTGTGACAATGGAGTTACACTCATTTGCAGGGACTGGAAGTTGGTTCCTTCGCCTCAAATCGATCTTTTAAATTAACAAAATATAAACAACCCTAAATAGTGAAGAGTATAATTTAAGAAACATGACGAATCGTCATATATGGAGGGACTTGTTCAAGAATATTAAAAATTACCCGACGAAAAAAACTCCAAGACAACAAACGACGCTATATGTTTCTCTGGTGTTGAAAATATACATAGTCAGTTTAAAAAATGCCCATTTTTCGACTATCCTTAAACAAATCTATTTTGGTGTGAATGGGAATATAACTGTAGAAAATCATATGGATGGTCCACTGAACATGGGTGGTGACACCATGTGTCCGTATAAAGAGGTAAGCATGTCCGGCCATGCTGGTAGCACCCTTCATTCATGACATTCATTCACGAAGATATGTAAGTGTTTACAATCTGACGCCTTACAGCAGTACTCCTGCCATTACGACGACGGTCTATGGACAACCCAGTGCGTGAGTATGTTTTTAGCCGCTTTAACCAACATTCCAACTTTGCCACGGCGGAGGACACCATAAATGGACCTTACACTTTTCACCCATGTAGGGGATTTGAACTTGGGTCGAGAAAACGCTTTAACTGCAAGGTTACCCACATCGCCACTGTTATAAACCAGACCATCAAAGTCTTCGATGAACCAAAAAAGCCACTTGTTTGAATTATGAATAATGACTGGTGCATAGAAGTTCAGACATTCCTTATTGTGATCTACCTTCGCTTGTTGGCAATCTTTAGCCTGTTTTTATATTGTATTGTCTAAAAAAATGTCATTTGTTTTTTAGTTTAGTTGTTTTTAATTCTAAGTGGGATAATCTAGTTGTTTTACTGTCCTTTGACGACAGATTTTATAATATGCACAGATTCTTTATCAACGACTAAAATATGTCTGAAACGTGGATAACATTACCGATGTGACGTTAAATATTAACTCACTCACTCAGATATTCCTTTGCTTTTACTAACGCATTTCGGAAATAGATTTGTTTTACATCAAAGTTGTGGTCAGGTTTAATGTCTCAGTCACATCAATCCCACTTCAGATTGTTATATGTCTACTGGGTTATACATGTGACCATTTCTTTATTACTTTGGTATTTTCGAAGGGTTTGCAGGTAACATAAAGTTAGGGACATTGGAAATTCATTTGATCCTAATTTAAGATATTTAACAAAGGGCCTCGTAGTGACAAATTTGAAGTGTTTGAAATTTCCTCAGATTTAAACTCATACTTCAAAGAAGAACATGTGAATCGTTATCCTGAACGCCCACAAATAAAATTCCAGGTTTCATTGAGTGCAAAGATAAAATAGCGGTGGATATGATATGTACGGACCGCTGAAGATAAAATAGCTGTTGATATGATCTGTACTGACCGCTAAAGATAAAATACCGGTAGATATGATATGTACGGACCGCTAAGGATAAAATAGCGGTAGATATATATGTACGGACCGCTAAAGATAAAATAGCGTCGGATATGATATGTACGGACTATTGAACATTTACGATGACCCCGGGTATTCGTGACAATGGCAAATATATTATTTTTTAATTACGTCTTCTTTGTAAGAGTTTTGCTACTTAGAACTGGAATACAAGACACATATTCTTTTTATATGACGTTGGGAGGGGAGTTTCAGTTTATCAATGACCACTGTTGCCAGTTCCTACAGCTTAGATAATGCCACTGATGGGTTTTAATGAAACACAAAGACTTCAGCTTCAAAACTGAAGCATTGAATTTTGTAAGTTTGAACGTCAACGCCAGAGTATGTTTAGTCTTGTTTTAACAATGGAAAGATTCCATTGGAAGTAAAGGGCAAGCGGAGGTGGACATTATATGAAAAGAAATGCTGTAAGTCATCGATGACAAAGGTGTTTCACAAAGCGATGTTTCACGTCCTGCTTGTGATAGTTGTGGTGTTTGTACTCTCAGCGAACGGTTACGGTGGGCAAATTGGATATCCTTGGAGAATACGTTGACACGTTTGGCGTGGTGTTTATGATTTCAGGTTTGAGTTGGCAAATAGTGGTAATAGTACTATTGGATTTACCTCTATGTACATTTTAGTATTATCATTATTGTAAATACATATGTAATCCTTTGTGAGACCCCAATCTTGTCTATGAGAAGTTTCAGGTAAAGAAAAAACTACTTTCGCACATACACAGAACAACTTGCGCAAATGACTTGTGTTCATGACAATCACTTCTAGACAAGTTTCAGTTGCGTGCCACAAATGATGAAGTCAATTTTAAATGCTTGAATTTGTTTTATATTCAAACAGTCATGTACATTGTTAAGATCACAGAACGAAGTCTTTCGCAACAATGTCAGGTTTGTACTAAAGTGGGGACTTATTTAAGCTGCACTTTAAAAGTTCTAGCAACAAGATGATATGGCTGAGATATTGCCGATGTGACGTTAAATATTAACTCACTCACTCACTCTAGCAACAAGACTTATAGTGACAATAAATATCGTATCGAATTTGTTTTTTGAGTAGTTTTAAGTCGCATACAACTCGCATCTTGCAGTATTGTCTTCCCTGACTTGTCTACATGGATTTGTCAAATGAAGAAAATACGTTGGCGTAATGACAGCACACACATCACAGTCACTACAAAAGGAAAAAAGAAAGCCTAAACTGGGTTCGCAGCTAGATCCTCAGGCGAACCCCGTGCAGTTTCTTCTTCTTCAGGCACGTCTCCGACATCATGTGGACACAAACAAAGGGACGTGACTTTGAGATGGATCTTAGTGATTTAATTGGTCGTGGGCCTGCGGTGAGGTGGATCTGAGCGATTTAATTGGTCGCGGGCCTATGGTGAGGTGGATCTTAGCGATTTAATTGGTCGCGGGCCTATGGTGAGGTGGATCTAAGTGATTTAATTGGTCGCGGGCCTACGGTGAGGTGGATCAAAGCGATTTAATTGGTCGCAGGCCTACGGTGAGGTGGATCTAAGCGATTTAATTGGTCGCGGGCCTATGGTGAGGTGGATCTAAGCCATTTAAATGGTCGCGAGCCTATGGTGAGGTGTATCTTAGCAATTTAATTGGTCGTGGGCCTACAGTGAGGTGGATCTAAGCGATTTAATTGGTTGCGGGCCTGCGGTGAGGTGGATCTGAGCGATTTAATTGGTCGCACGCCTACGACTTGGAGTAGGACAATTTCCATTTCTTACAACTCTGCTGCAACTAATTGTATGTGATTAAACGTTAAACGTTACGATTAGGGTGTTCTGATGAAGCCAGTTGTTTCTGCACGTGGCACCATGAGTACACACTTTAAGTGAGTATGGTCTATATGTTTTGTCAAAACTTTCATTTCAAGTAGGTTATCACTGATTATTTTCTTTAAAATATTTATCATATCAACGTGGTATGTATTGAATCCCGGTCTTCGTGATAAGAACTAACTAACTTACATGCACATCCCCTAGACATTTTATGTGTGGATTCGTTTTTGTAAGTACAGCTTTGCATTGTGGTAATTTTGTGGTTAACTGAACCTTCTCAGTAACAGACATACTTAACTTCCCAATCTATATGTATATAAAACACATATGTTAGATTATTTGGAATCCGTCCAATTATACAGAGTGCAAATGCTGGGTATAACCTAACCATTATCTTAAATGAATATAACAAAAGGACCCTGATACTATATCTGAAGCGTCTTTGTAATTAAGCCAGTATTTACATTTTGCGAAAGGTTGAAATTCGAAGTGACAGTGGAAAATACTTGACTGACTGTCAGACCTGAACCCTGCAGAATCGAGGAATAGATCCTTTTCTGATCGACCTATGACCTGTAACTCATCAAAGACTTGATTTTTATGACCGGCGAGTGTCGATCATGACATGCGACAAAAGAGTGACAGTGCTGCTTTATGTACATGTGACTAACTTGGGATTCCTTGGAACATTGTTCTCATCATTTTGGACTGGATTGTGGCCAAGCTTTTCAAAGTGTACGAACATAGCAGTGACAGCCTTCAGGGAAGTTGGCAGAGAACTGAATTCTCATGGTTTAGTTTTTGACATTTTTGAACGATGCAACGGAACATGATGGAGTATGAGTGGCAAATGTTGTTTCGCCTGACGGTTATCTTTCGAATTTCCCATTCTAAACGGAAACAAATATACCATTTACCAGGTAGGTAAATGTTTACGAACGTTTTGCCGCACAAATAGGGATAGACAGGGATGTATTTTTACAAGGTTTTCTGATTTATATGTTAGATATTGTTTGTTTATGTTTGGGGCTGTGTATATTGTAATTGAGTTTGAATATTTTTATAATAGAAGGTAATAATTATGATAGTGAGGTTCCCTAATAATCGTGGAGGAGAAATCGTATAATTGTATTTTTCGAGTTTTAATAAATGTTTCATCAGCATTTCCATCATGTCTGTTGTGTTGATATTAGTCATGTTGGTCGCCAAGCTGAAGTAGTGCGGCAGTGTTGTATACGTGCGCAGTGAAGCGCCGTGAAATCAGACGCATTTTCAGTCCAAATTGATACCGTCTGATTTTATGGCTTGACCAATCAAATTCGAGCATTTCATGTAGCCATGGTAGAATTGTGAGTTGACAAGCCGATGTCTCACTCAACCTTATTATACAGTGTAATAACATGTAACATGATAAAGTGTGAATCAGTTTATTAAGAAATCCGAATACAGTTTCCATTATGGAAAAAATAATATGAAAATAAATCTCCTTTATACGAATTAAAGCTGCTACCATTCAAACATCCTCTGTAACTGGAATGGATATTTAGTGCGAGGTTGTTACACAGCAATCACTTCCAGCCGGATTGTAGATTTGGTTTGCGACATCTCGTTGACAAACATGAAGTTGTTTCTTGTGATGGTTCTGGGTAAGTACTAAGACTTTTGTATATATGTGTACAGTGCAGTGTCTAGTACAGTGGTATCATTGTGCGATACGCATCTATTTGATTTAGTCTGTTGGCCTTTGCAGCAGATTTGAGCATGTCATGACAATAGAAATTATGTCATAGGGTCCAAACCGAACAACTGAAGGAGGCAACTGATTTAACAAAAATCAATTTCATACTGTTGATCATGATCACGGTGGTTTTACATGCCTTATATCTCATCTCTCGTAGGTGTATATACTCTCTGTTTAGTGCCAGCCAATGATGATTCCATGCCGCAAGATAAAGGGGAAGTGTACACGAAAAATAACTCCTTTTCCTGTGTGAAATCATAGGGAATTTTAGAATTACATGTAATTACTATCAATGTTAGAAGCTATACACTGAAATGTTGAAAGTTGAAATACGCTGACGTGTTGAAATGTTATGCCATTATGAAGCTTTTGCTTTCAGGCTAAAAAGGTCAGAGTTACCCCTTAGATTATGACGTAATTGGTCCCAAATGATTCAGATTGGTCTCGTGCCTAGTTCCAATGCCAGAGAAATACATAGTGAAATTAATAGCATGAAAATATGTGTAAAATAGAGCTTTGAATCGATATAATGTAGAAACTAAATTTGTTACTCATGATATCTATACTCTTTTGGCTTTGAACCCACTAGAAAAATGCTTTTATTGTTGACAAAATGAAGTCAAAATGGTATATTTTCGTGTAAACTTGCCCTTTAAAATGTCAACCCCACTCAGACACAGAGACTTTAATACTCCAAGGCGTCCCCCTTTCTCTTGTTTCACAGAGTGAAACGACCGCAAGGTGCTCCGGAAACACTAGGGCACTATTGCTGCATTTACAGCCAAGCCCAACATCCGTGGCACACGCATGTTCAATGGATGATCACTTCGTGTGCAACCCCGTTAGCACGCGTATCACATACGTTTTTCATGCGTTCTCAACACGTGCATGGTAACTTTAAGGCAGTAGTATATTAGGTGTATTTGGGTGTAACGTGACTGACTGACTGACTGACTGACTGAGTTTGGTTTTACGCCGCTTTTAGCAATATTCCAGCAACATCACGGCGGGGACACCAGAAATGGGCTTCACACATTGTGCCCATGTGGGGATTCGAACTTAACGTGACTGACACAAGCGGCCGTGACACAGGCGTTTAGTATTGAACTGCAGTATTTAGTATCGCTTATAGGCTTGATATTGTTCAATTTCAGTCGGCCTGTTGACCGCTCAATCTGTCACTGCACGAAGGAGACATGGCAGAACGGAACGGCCTGGTAAGCGACACTGAAAATCTGGCTAATAAGGCTAGCATCGTTCACCCCTTCCCAATCGTCGGATTGGCCCATCCTCTGATAGAATTCCCAACCATCTGTTTAAGATTTCCACAGCCACTATCAAACATTTCTCAAGCGCTTCCACTCCCAGTATCCCCAAACATCTGTCTAGCCCTGCCACTACCGTTAACCCTTCCACTTTATGTATTACGAATCACCTGTCTCGCCCTTCCACTACCAGTCTTCCAAACCGTCTCTAACCCTTCCGGTACCTGTATTTCAAATCATCTGTCAAACCCTTCCACTACCAGTATTCTGTCAACCCCTTCCACTACCAGTATTCTGTCATCATCTGTCTAGCCCTTCCACTACCAGTATTCTGTCATCATCTGTCTAGCCCTTCCACTACCAGTATTCTGTCATCATCTGTCAACCCTTCCACTACCAGTATTCTGTCATCATCTGTCTAGCCCTTCCACTACCAGTATTCTGTCATCATCTGTCTAGCCCTTCCACTACCAGTATTCTGTCATCATCTGTCTAACCCTGCCACTACCAGTATTCTGTCATCATCTGTCTAGCCCTTCCACTACTAGTATTTTGTCATCATCTGTCTAGCCCTTCCACTACCAGTATTCTATCATCATCTGTCTAGCCCTTCCACTACCAGTATTCTGTCATCATCTGTCTAACCCTTCCACTACCAGTATTCTGTCATCATCTGTCTAACCCTTCCACTACCAGTATTTACATCATCTGTCAATCAGTTCCACTTCTCTAATCAGCTTGTGCCATTACGTTTGGTTGACGTTGTGTAATTTTGTGTACTTGCTAATTTTTCAGCATTTTTTCAAACAATCTAACCTGGTGCAATGGCAATGGCTAAATTGGCCAGTGAACAATTTTAACATGTCTGACTACTTACCAGATACCCTGTATCCTTTACTTCCAAACATTTAATTTTGATACCAAATTAATGCTGAATCCTTAAATTGGAAAACTGTTTCTCATATTCTTAGAAATCAATGCGTTCCAATTGATCAATTTGACTATCCTAGAATCACTTTGTAGTTGCTCTGTGCTCAGCTGACATTCCTCGAAATTTTGCTATTTCACGCGCTTAGAAAAATGGCAAAATACGCTTTCGCCTTTCACATAAAGGATTTGTGTTAAGATCGTTTTAGCCTCTCATGTTTTAATTTGACGATGGTTCATAAAAGCAATAAACTAAATGTACTGCGTCGAGGAAGGACCGGATTATCTGTCCCTCGTGAGTTCACAAAGTTCAATTCACTCGGCATAGATTTTTCGTCCTTCCTCGTCACTGTACATGTAGTGCGACATGAGCATGCACTAGCGGGGTGAACACTAAAATCTAGGAAGTGTGGACACAAGAAAGACGAAAGCGATAATAAAACAACCGAGCATCATGTGTCTGTGCCAAAGCTGGACATCCACGTCTAATTAAATTCACTACACAATCAGAATTACAGTTTGATGTAAAATCACACATTGGCGTTACGAATAGGAACTGACTGGTCCTAAGCAGCAAACAGAAATACTTTTGATTCACATTTCTCAACTGGTGGAACTTTTGGACATTCACCATGCCGATGTCATTAAATGTTCCATTTTATTAACCAGTTTTAATTACTCCTAATGTATAAAAGTAGTGAATATGTTATATAGCGACTCTTAAATTCTATTTTGTATCATATATAATCTGTTAAGGGAAGATACTTATATGTATGTCGACGTCTTATTCTGTTATGATCAAAACATCCATCATCCATAATTTGCCTTCATTAATCTAAATCGATTATATCTAATCTGTGGTGTATTATTCACTGTTAGATAAATATTACCATTTCTTTCGGAGTGTACTTAATTTAACATGCTTTTATGGCTAAGACATTTCTGATAATGCATGATGTGTAATTATGTAAAAGTATTTTTACAAAATTTGATAATGCTTTTATATGACACACAGCAAAGATTGGAGGCTTACGAAGGTTATCAAGATCAACGTGGGATCTTCGGCCGCCGGCTGGTTTTGACGGGGGTTTATCACTATTGTTGAGAAAGAAAATGGGAGGAGCTGTACTTGCATGACAGGGAATGATGAGAAGACGGCGAGAGAGAAACATCATGCGCAGAACAACAGATCGTCTTTCTAATTCAAATGTCAAAACAAATACAATGTGGGGAATAAATCCTTTTTCTTCTGCTAGCCTGGTTTTGATACTCGGCTAAAACACTTAATTGATTACACAATGCCATTTAGAAAGTGATTAAATGTGACATCTGTTACAGATTATAGTAAGTTCGAACCACACCCTCAGGCACCTAATCGCCAGCCACACAAAAGTCAGTCGCCTAACCCGTTCAGCCACAGCGACTTTTGCATTAAACAAAATGTTCCAGATGTTAAAGCTGATGTTACCATGAATAGAATCATTGTCAATTTTACAATACTGAATACGTGTACGAGAGTAAAATATGTAGATATAGTTGGAACCTGAAGAGCGTTATAAGTGGCCACCTATGTCATATCGGGACTGTATATTTATTTATATATACAGTGAAACCGCTAAGTAAAGACCGCTTAACTAAACATACCGGATAAGTAAACACTATTCTTTGGTCCCGCAAATTTCTTCATTAATTATCATTATTAGGGTCCGGTTAACTAAACTTCGGATAAGTAAACAATACCGCTTAACTAAAGGTTTTTTCACAATCCCTGGAAGTAAATTCCTTAACAAAAGAGACCGGATAACTAAATTAGCGATCACCACATAATCCGACATGAGGGGCACGTGTCAGTCTCCAGTCAAACAAACATCCTACTTTCAGCTCGCTGGCAGCATGCAGTTGACAATACACTGACAACTGGAGGCCAGCCCTGATAAGTTGTTCATTGTTTTATGTAGCTTGGGAGTAACAGAGACCAATCAGCAATGACAGTGAGTTTATCCAGTTTACATTGTCAATGACATGAAGCAGGCCGCCATTATGGTCACATGACAAGTAAAATCGGAATAAGATCAATTGGAAAAAATGCTTGTTAATTTAACACAAATGCTATCATATAAAACAGAGGGAAAAAATATGTATGTCGTCCACTGTAAACTCCCCATGCTATGCCCCAAATGCGGGTCGGACACTCACACAATAGATCGAATGTCGACAACAGTAATACTGCATTCACTGCAACACACCCGGACACACCGCTACACAAAACACATGCCCTATCAAACAAAAACACATTCTCAGGCTAAACAAACATATTAAAACACCGACCTGCCCAAACCAGCTCCCCCAACTCGCATACCACTCCCTCCTCTCAGCTTCCTCATCATCGCCCTACACTTCCTCTACCCCCAACTCATCACTCTACTCACCCCCACCCTCACCTAAACCCAGCAAACACCCCCCCAACCAACCACCAAACCTACTCGGCTCCACCAACCCACACAAACCATACCCACCCCAATCCGCCCTAAACCCCTCCTGCCCAAACAACCCTCCTCCCCACACCCATCCCAACTGCCCCACCCAAACAAACACGCCCCCAAAAACTGCACCCCCATCCAAACCCACCAACCCTCCCCACCCCAAACCCCCTCCCAACACAAGCCACCAATCCCACTTCCCACAAACAAAACACAACCCCGGCAATAAAAAACACATCACCAGCCCATAATCCCACACTAACACTCCATACAAAAACTCAACCATAACCTAAACAAGTTAGTGGAATTTATCATCATGGCCACACTCATGGACAAACCCACAGCAAAAACTACATACACTAGCACACAAATCCAAACTATACCGCAAAAGTCTAGCCAGTCTTCTCATAGCCATCAAAACCCTTTTTAAACACCAATCACTAAACCACTAAAGCACCAAATCTACTTCTCTTCCAAATTCATGCCCCACGCTTACATGGCATTTAGTACACTCTTATTTCAAATTACAGTAACCATGGCACTTATACAGTGGAATTGCAACAGTTTCCGGCATGGGCATGAGCTCAAGGCACTCATAAGCCCATAACAAAATTGCCCCGACATTATAACTCTGCAAGAAACTAGACTATCACCAAAATTCGCCTTCAAAATACCAGGCTACAATTACATTCGGAAAGATAGACCTCGCCACATAATTACCCTGGCCCCGGCGTAAGTGGGCATCTATATCTCAGAAAAGTTAAACTATACCATCTTGCAAATTCCTGTAACCAACTTAGAAGTCCTGGCTATCAACACCAAACTAAATAACAAAGAAATCACAATTATTAACGCTCTACAGAAGCCCCGCTATCAAAATCACCCCCAAGATTTGGAAATACTGTCTAAATTCATAGCTCCCAGCACCATTTTACTCGGAGACTTTAGCACATCACCCACTGTGGGGCACAAGACCCCACACTGACATTAACGTACCATTCCACCGACTGGCTAGACCAACACTCCCTAACTTGCCTCCAACGATGAAATCAACCCACACGTTACCCCTCTCCCACCTTCAAACCCCCACAGCCATAGACCTCACATTCACCACCCCAACCTAACTCAAGCTTGTATCTGGGAGGTACACAGACACCTGGGGCAGTGACCACTGCCCCATCAAAATCACCATTACCTCACACATTCCCACCGTGCAACCACCTCTCCCCACCCACACCCACAGAAGCCAGATACAATATTAACAAAGCAGACTGGAAAAAATTCTCAACATTATGCAAACAAGTAAATACCTCAACCATCTACAGCCCCGACATAAACACATTTAACAGTAATCTTACAAACATATTCTTAATATCTCAGACAAATGCATTCCTACTTTTCGCCCAACCCAAGACTAAAAAGTCCCGTGGTGGAGCCAAGAAATTACTAATGCCAGAAAGGCTAGAAAAAAGGCCCTTAACCAATCAAAAGGGACCGATCAAAATTACATTTAGCTAAACAACTACGTGAAAACAAAACTAAACAAATTATCAAGGCAGGCAAAATCACCCACTGGAGAAATTTTTGTTCAACCCTCAGGCAATCTCATCGAATCCTCGGAACATGTGGAATAAATTCAAAGCCATAAAGGGCATTCTAAAAACCATTTCACCTAATTTCCCGGACCAAACCACAAATAAAGATAAAGCAAATGCATTTGCTGCCCACTTCTCGACCCACAAGCAGCTCCACCAACTACCCACCCACCTTCCAAAACACTATAAAAAACCCCCTACACCCCACAACCTCCCCACACAGACAAACCCATAAATAAAATAATCAACATTCACGAACTCAAATCTGCACTCAAAACAAACAAACAGCCTCAGCCCCAGGTCCAGATACCATCACATACACAATATTAAACAAATTACCTCCCAACATGCTTAACATCACACACATACACTCTTCAACCATATCTGGACCTCAGGAACTATCCCAACACTGGGACTGGAAAATCAGCCAGAGTGGTACCAATCCTCAAACCAGGAAACCCAATAACGAGCCTGACTTCATACAGCCCCATCTCACTTACCTCCCACCTCTGTAAAACCCTTGAACAATTATAAACAACAGGCTCAAACACCTCATTTTAACCAACAACCTACTTAAGGAGGACCAGGCGGCTTTACTCCAAATCGACAAACTTTAGACCACATTCTACATTTAGAACAAGATATCAAAGTAGCACAAGCACAGAAACAATACACCATGGCCATTTTCATTGACTTCAGCAAGGCATTCGACATGGTTTGGCATAACGGCCTTCTTCAAAAACTTCAAAATCATGCCATTCACGGTCGAATACTAAATTTCATTCACTCTTTTTCTAAACGACCGAACAAATAACAATCAAATCTCACAACACCACCTCGGATCCATACCCTCTAGAAAATGGAACCCCCAGGGAGCATATTATCCCCTAACTTTATTCAACTTTTATGATTAATGACATTTTTTTCCTAATAAATGGCCTGAAATCACTACAGCCAAATTCAGATGATATTTCATTTTGGACTTCCTCAACCTCAGTTAAACAAGCATCACTCAAAATTCAAAAATGCTAAACTCCATTCAAATCTGGGCCCAAAATGGGTGTTCCTCATTAACGTTAAAACCGTGGGCATATTATTCAAAACTCAGCATATGCAAAATTATACCCCCAAACTACTCTTAAACAACCAGGAAATTGAATTCAAAAAGAAGCAAAATTTCTAGGAGTAACTTTTGACCACCACTTGACATGGACACCCCACGTTAATAACTTGGTCAATTCATGTCAAAAGATCTAAACCTAATCACGAGCCATCAGCTGCACAAACTGGGGTGCCGACAAACATACCCTCATTAATATTTATAAAACTCTCATATTATCGAGATTGGACTACGCTAAGACGGTTCTCCATAACCTCCTCTCCCATAACCTTCAAAAAACTTAATTCTATCCAATATAAAGCCCTTAAACTAGCCCTTGGCGAGGGAGGATACCTCTCTGAACACACTACTTCTTCTTACAGGCACCTCTTCAATCACACAAAGAATTAGCCAAACCACACTCACTTCTACTGGGCTGGGGCCCAACACAACCCCATATTCAAATTAATCACAAACAAATATAAAAACATCAAAAAATCTACACTTAAAAAATTCAAATCAAACCCACTCAAAGCATCATGCCTTACCCACCTATTCAGTCTGTTACATGCACAACAACTAAACACCATACAACACACACCTCCCATTACAAGCTACATTCACTTACAAACCCCCACCCATCACAGACATCTCCCTTGACACAATCCTCAAACAACTACCTAAAAACACCCCACAATCCACCTTAACTAATATCATAAACAACTACTTAAATACAAACTACCCCAAACACACTCATATATATACAGATGCATCAGTCAGCACTAACAAACCCACAGGCCTAGGCATACACGTTCAACAAACCCCTCCCATCACAACAAATTTTCATTATACCAACTACACCACAATAAACACTGCCGAACTCACTGCCATTCTCTCTGCATTACACCTAATACCCTCCCTCCCCAAACAAACTT